GGGGGAGGGGTAGATGGAGGAAGGGGAGGAGGGGGGAGGGGAGTACAACAGGGAGAAATAGGAGGAGGAGGAGGAGGGAGGGGAAGATGAAAAGGAGGAGGGAGGGGAAGATGAAAAGGAGGAAGGAGGAGGAGAAGACGAGGACAAAGAGAACCGTACCTTTCTGTGTCATGATCTGGGCCAGCTCGGCGAAGCGGATGTCGTAGCAGATGGCCACACCCACCTGGCAGTAGGCTGGGGAGAGATGGGGAGGGATGGGATTGTTTAACTGGGGAGATATGGGGAGGGATGGGATAGTTTAACGGGATTCCCCGAAATGAGATAGGTTCCCCGAGATGAGATAGATTCCCTGTTTCTAGGGTGAGCAGAGTCCGGGCTCAAAGCAGGGATGCCACTCGATGCCACTCAATTTTTTTATAAATAGCTGAAAATCCACGCGCCACGGTCTCACTAACATATTATGAATACATCAATTTGTACATAGAGACAAACGACAAACAAGCATAAGCAATGGGTGTACAGAGAAAGAAATGAGTGTGGGGGTTTTTTTTTAGGGTGGGGGGGGGTTCTAATTATAGATTCTATCTCGATCTCAATAACGGAATAGCGGATCAGGATCAAAACACCAGAAATATTTTTTTTTAACCGGAAAAGTGGCATCCCTGTCAAAGGGTTAACTCACCGATGTCAGCGTACACGATGCTCTCCTTCTCGTCCGTGGTGGAAATCACCTCTCCCCTGGACAAAGGACAAAGGGAAATGTCGTCAAACAAAACAATTAAAGCTACATTTTACATTTGTGAGGCAGCGTGGTGGAATCAGGCTCTCGTCAATTTTTGGGCATGCAGAGTTATTGGTGTCATCTTAAAGCTTGTTTAGTTGTCTTTATTTAGATGGAAAAAATATCCATTTATCTTGAATGCTAGTCGAGACATTTGCGAAAGAAGGATGTGGGGGTCACCTGTTTTCAGAGGTAAAATTAGTGAGAAAATGGCCGCCAAAGATTAGTTATTTTCTTAGCTTA